TTTTCAAATAAAGGTAATGGGGTGATTGAATAACCTTCCACAATATTACGAATATAAAAATTAGCCATTGATTAAAATTCAAAAAGTTTTCAAACTTAATTTTATGAATCCCACTCTGATACCACTTAAGAGTTCGTTAGGGATGTTAAGCCCTTATGAACTAGTCCCGAGGCTAACCAAGAGGGGGGGGGGGGGGGGGGGGGGGGGGGGGTGAATTGTTATATAAAAATTTCTCCAAGAAAAAATACAAACACAACCAAACCAAGATTCACCATAAGAGAAACAAAGTGCGGAAATTAAATGCAGAAAAATAATAAGAAAGAATACACTAGATTTATAGTGATTCGGTCCAACCTGACCTATGTCCACTCCTCGGAGGCACCCTCCGAGTATTGCACTAAATCTTTAGTGCCTCTCCTTTAGCCCCCACAGCTAGGCAGAGAAGCCTTTATAAAATCACTTTCATCTTTCCAATACGGCGGAGTAGCCGAGCCCTTTAACACCAAAGAGTTTTCTTCTTTCAAAAACTTCCCTCAAGACAAACCTTGAATCTGATGGTACTAAGGTGCAAGCTCGTCGGAGCAACCATGTGAAATCCCCTACACACTCCCTTGAAACCCCCTCTAAGAATCTTCTCCCTCTCTCAAACTCCACCCTTTCCTCTCTCCCTTTCAAGTTCTATTTTCAAGTTTTCTTCAGAAGAACAAAACTTCAATGGCTGCCAAAGACTCTAACTTGTATAAACAAGAGGTCTTAAATAGAAAAGCTCCAAATTTGCTCTTAATTGCAACAAATCGACACTATCATCCAGGACGATATTCATATCATCCTGTACGATTAGTTCAAATTGTTGAGCATCATCTAGAACATCACCCTGATTATATGTCTGAATGATTAAAAAGTTAACTTATCGTCTGGAATGATCTCATGATCGTCCAGGCTGATTAGTAAAAAAAGGCACATATCGTCTAAAGCATCACCCTGGATGTAGCTAGGACGATTAGGAATCATCCAGGATGAACTAAGGTTTGTAAACTAATCATCCCGAACGATCCAGCGATTGTCCAAGATGATATGATCAAGCAATCAAACCTTAATTGCTTTTCTTAATTACAGATTAATTTAGGCATAATTATACTGCATCGTCCAAGATGTTGTCTTGGATAATGTCCAAAAATAAAAGATGCCTAAATAAATATGACGGCTGATTATTTTTTTATTTAAGCTTATTGTCTCGTACGATGATACTATCATCTAGGACGATTCACTTAATTACGGCTGCCTTAAATAGGATGCCTTAAATTAAGATTTCTATTTTTAACTGATCATCCAGAATGATTTATGGATAGTCCCGGATGATGTGATCAAAAACAAAAAACTCTAACAATCAGACAGAATTTTTTTCCAAGTGTGTGTGTGCAAGGTTATTAAGCTAGCATACACCCTTACAGGACATGACTCAAGAAATCAAAAAATACATCAATGAATATTAAAAATAAAATATGTTCTAACAAATCTTGAGTCTTAAATAGTGCATCGTAATCCTTAAAAGTTAATATACACACAAACAAAAATATATTACAAATACAGGTAGACCACAGAAAGTGAGCCACAATATTTGTTATCATCAAAAACATAACTCATAAGCTTGAGTTGCAACAGGTTCATCCTAGATGAACCAAGGTTTATCTATTAAAAGTTATGTTAATTTGGACTATATGTATTGGATTGTAAAATAAAATCCTAATCATATAGTATAATATCCAATAAACATTTAATCCTTATTTGATTCATCGATCAACGAGTAAAATTATGCAATATTCATTAATAATCATACAATAAGAAATAGCTTATACATCATAGTTATGATTAAATTTTAATTTAAATTTGCCTAATTTTGGTAACCAAGATTCAATGGTGGAGTTTTATCAAAATACAAAATCAACATGTGCAATCATATGTCGTATAGTATAATCAATTATTCTAAAAATTAATTTAATTAAACACTTGATTTAATTTTTGGATTAACAGATCATACAATGCAATTTAGATCATATATTATGATTTAATAGAGAATTCAAGTGTTTAATTTTCAACCATCCTTACATGTGTGTATTGGGTTGTCTTGCCAACATACAACTAATTACATAAAGGACTCATGAAAAAAAAAGTTCTGACTTACTGCAATTTTAAATAATCTCAACATTGTATTTTCTTGAGTTCGCTCCTTCAACTTGGTTTTATGTATGTTTTAACTAAAATATTTGTAGCACATCGAAGAAAAACTATATATATATATATATATATGTGTGTGTGTGTGTGTGTGTGTTGTAGAGAATAGTGAATGATTAAGCTAATAATTTTTATAATATTCAAAATGCCACATCGGGCTCTTAGATTTCAATAGACTTTGCATAGTCAAAATTTTCCATTCCTCATTTTTGTAGGTTTTCCTTATAGTTTTAGGGATTGTAAGCTGTACATCCTCTCTAAATCTATTGGTTAGATTCATAAGTATAATAACGTAGATTTTTTTCTTTAATATGAGGTGAAGAGATTCTTTGGATAAAAAAATTCATTATTTCCAGTAGAACGTCTTTTAGCCATAATGGGTTGCTTACCTTCATGGTAAGCAATATTGAGCTTGATGAGTTGGGATGAAAGATTCAAGATATCTTTTTAAGGTTATGTCTATCATTTTCTTGATTCCTCAGTATACCTATTACCTCTTTAAGACCACGCTTACCTCTATAAGGGGATAGAGTACTTATCACAAAATAATAAAATTTGAAGGAATAACAAAATTTCTTTAAGATTGAGGTTGGCTACCAAACCATCTTTTATTCTGAATAAATTCTAAATTTTCAAAATAATAAAAACCCCATCATTCTTCATTCCATTGAGTATGAATAAGGTTGCAAATGCTAATTTAATTTTCAAAAGAGAGAGAAAAGGAGTGAGGGCTGGCTACACTTATAGTGTTTGACAGAGATTGAGGTAACTAAGAAAATAACTGTACCATCCTTTAAAAATTTTCCAATCAATTGTGCCTTGGCTGATGCTTATTTAAATTATTTCCTTCAAATACATATTTTCACATTAAAAAATAATCCACATTCCCTTAAACTTTTAAAATATAAATTTAAAATTTTCAAAATTTTGAATTTTTAAAAATCAAATGTCAAAGTTTTAAAATTCACATTCTTAAATTATAATTATAAATAAAATTTGAAGTCACAAATATATATTTTAAAATAATTATCTTACTCATAAAATAGAAATTCTACCTAAGTGCTTTCAAATTACTCCTTTCACGAGTCCTCAAGTCCTCTTAGCTTCCTTCTTTTATAGGGCTCTAATTGTTGTTTCAGCTCTTCTTGTACGGGCATCTTGGGCCACATCAATTTTCCACAACTAAACCTTGTAGAAGAGTCAAAATACTATGAATTAATTATTTCATACCTTCATCTAGTGGCTCCAGTCCTAGGCTTAGCCAAAGATTTTGATTTCCTTAAACCAATTTAATATGTTGACATATTCTATTACCAAGAAGCCTATTAATATTACAAGTAGTTCTCTTCCACCTCCAAGAGATGATCCTTAGCTTACTAGACCCATTATAATAATTACAATCAATAATTTTCACATATTAACACACAAAATTAAGAAGGTGATTACATCCATGAAACTCAAAGTGTTTGATCATAGGAGAATAGTTTTGTTTTTCATAATACTTCTACTGCCTGTTAGGTTTTTCTAGGAATTCTCTTATTCTCCTCTTCTAAATACAAAGTATGGTGAGAGATCCAAACATGCCTAAGGGTCCACTACTCAATTATCTTTTTACAATCTCCATCATACCACATGATTCCTCTGATGTCATTAGACTTGCATATATCGTAACAAAATAGTTGAGATACATAAACCTTAAACTTAAAAGAAGTCTTTCACATCTACCTTAGTAAGAAAATATAAGAGGTACTCAACCAGTAAGAAAACATCTTATCTATCCATTCTACTTTCAAACCTACTGCTAATCCACACATAAATCAATTCCCCAATATTATAGTAAATAATATGAATAAAAATATGAAAATTATTATTTGTCAAAATTAATAAGAAAAATAATATAAAATATCAATAATGTAAAGCCCAATAAATAACCCAGAAGAGGATGAGCCTATTAACTCTAAATTGGAACCAATGATATTCACCCTTTCTCATGAAGGCATAGGAGCAAGGAAAAAAACTCAGGCCACAAGATGACTAGTTGTAGTGAGGAAAAATAACTCTATGATATTTATAATGTGTAAAGAAAAGAAATGTGGGTTATTTTTAAATGGAGAAAATGCCATGATGTAATGCCAACATAAAGGCTAAACCATATGCCAACTAATTTGATGTTAGACGAGTATACTATACCTCTTTTACTATGACTTCTAAATTTTTTGTTCCTTTTAAAATAAGAAGTTATAAAGATAATATTTAATTTAATTTCTTCGCTAATATATAATTAGTCTAACCTTCGTTATATGTCGTAGAATTATATGAAAAAAAAAATCCCTATATGTCATATAATAAAACAAAATCATTATAACTCTTTCCATAAAACCCAAATGCAAATCTACCTAACTCATCACCCATAAGCCTCTCTAATATAAAGCATATTTCAACTAAAAAAATCAAATAAAATCAAACTAATTATCATCAACCTCTTATCCCAAGAGTCTAGCAAACTTACTAACTCAATTCTACTTCCACCAAGTTGCAATTAAAAAGCATAAAAATATATAGCTCATCTTGGTCTGTTAGTTAGAAGCTTAAGCTATCAACTAAGAGGTTTTTGATTCGAATATGTGATGTGTTTATAAATTTTTCTTAATTGATCTGAATGTTAAAAAAAAAACAAAAAAATAAATAAGAGCAACATTTTTTATTGTTGATTGCACGAAATTATTATTAAAAAAAAAAATGCAAACTCAGCTTTACTCTAATTTTATTTCGAGTACCCTACCCCGATTTTCTGCCGTAATTGCTGTCGCAGAAATCCATCCTTTCGCTTCAGTATCAATTTTGCGTATCTGAAAACCCCTCTAGGAGGCCGGACCTAATAATTTTCCCTCTAGGAGAGGACGAGAAGAGAGGATGACTCATATCCTTCAATTTCATAATTTAATTTTCCCTTCTTTTACTTTTTCTTTGCATCGATTAGATTTCTGTTTCACTCTTCCTGATAGGTTTATCATCTTCGCAATCCGATCTACTAGCATTCCTTAATTCGATCTGAAACGCGGTAATCAAAGGGATCGCGATCGCGAGAGATCGCAGGCTCGGAAGACTCAGTCCAAAAATAAGGACGATGGCCTTACCCCGGAGCAGCGCCGCGAGAGGTGTGCGATCTGACCGAATTCTAACTCATCCCGTTCTGTTGATTTTGCAATATAGGTTTTACGTATCATTTTTTGTTTTATTTTTTGGATCTGAGTAGGGATAAGAAAGCCCTGGAAGAGAAGATCTCGAAGAAGGTGGGGCAGGGAGCCACCGGTGAAGGGAGCAATGCCGCGAATAACAGCAAAGGCGCTGGCAAGAAATAGGTACTCACAGAGTCCGTTTAGAATAATTTATGAAATAAATATTTTTATTGTGTGAGAATGTGAAATCTGAACTTTTGTGGGGTGCTTTAATTGATTTGATCTTGTAAACTGTTACTTTTGTTTGGATGCTGAAGCATCTGAACGACTGATGGAACTTTTTCTTTTAACCGAATGTTTCATCTATGGTTTGACTTAATTATGCGTCCACATTGTGTTTGCTTTGTTGGCATGTCATTTTTACCTCCACTTGGTTCCTGTAAAATTACAATCTTTGGTGATGTTGTATTATGGAGAAAGAAGGAAATTAGGATATAAATTAGAGTAAGTTCTTTTGGATCCCCCCATGACCATTTTTTATGCTTTGAATGTTTGTTTTTGCATAATTAAGTATTAGAATTATGGATATAGATGTTCCTTTGGGTTGCATTAGGTAGTCAACAGTTAGCTAGGGCTGCAAATAAACTAAGCGTTCAATGAGCTACTAGTGGTTCAGCTCGATAAGAGCTCGTTCATGTTCATTTGATAAGCTAAATGAACGAGCTTGAACACTTTTGATACTCGATAGCTAAATAAACGAGCTTGAACAACTCAATGTTGGATTTGTTTATGTTCAAGAATAGTACCGTTTAGAGCTCGTGAATAAGCTCGATTAAGGCTCGTGTTCAGGGCTTGTTTAAAGCTCTATTAGAGCTCGATTATGCTTTATTTAATAAAAAATAATTATTATATCTTATTTGACTAATAAATTGATTAAGTCTCACATTATTTAACTAATTTTAAAAAAATAATATAAAAATTAATGTTTTTTATACTCCCGCCGGACCCGCCCGCCTCTGTCTCTCATCCATTTCCTGTTTTTCATTCTCCTACCCGCCAAAAAATTCCCGCTTGCTCTCTCTCTCTCTCTCTCTCTCTCTCTCTCTCTCTCTGTGCCATGGCATCAACAAAACTAAAAAAAATGGTTGGAGTTTAGTCCCACACTGCCTGGACAGGTGTCATTACAAATTAGTTGGAGTATTTAGTTATTATCTAGTAAGTTATTAGTTTAATATTATAATTAATTAGTAATTATTTAATGGCTGCTATGTTATTTGAAGTTGACATGAATAATGAGGGTTAAGTAGGACGATTATTACTCTTTTGTAGGATCTTTGATCTTAAAGGCAAATGTTGGGCATCACTTCATCTTCCAATGTGATGAAAAAACCAAGACCACCTAGTTCTTCCACAACAAACTAACAAATAAACTTTATTAATGCAAGCTACATGATGAATTTCCCTGAAATATCTATATTGGTTCCCTCTCTATCATTTGAGCTCTTAAATATTTGGTCGTGTTTCTCGCTCAATACTTAAATAGTCTTGCCTCATCTTCTAGTCAGATGAAGAAATTAAGACCACCTACCTCTATCAAAACAAGCACACAAATAAAATTTATTAGTGCAAGCTACAAGATGAATGGCCTTGAAATATCTTGATGGGATCCCTCATGATCATTTGAGTTCTTAAATATTTGCTTGAATTTCTTGCTTAGTGCTTAGACTTTTTTGTTTATTAGCATCAAGTTCCATTTTTCCATGGTTAGTTGTAATTAGGAAAATTTTTTGCATATTGAATGCTAGGTGAGTGTTTGCCATAAGATGTTTCTATAGTGTTATTGACATAAACTTTGTCCATCAAAGGTTGCAACAAGTTAACCCAAATCAATTTAGTCATGCCAATAACATGTCTACAAAGGAAGTCTTTCTCGATCTCTCCATAGTGGGCATATGTCACAAGATTGAACCACATAAATTCTTACCTCTTTCAATGATTGGGTGTTGGTCTCTTTGAATCTATGCTGATATTAATATTTACCCTTTTATACTTATTGTAAATTTATCTATATTACAAAAATAATGTAAAATAATAATATTGTATTTTAAATTTTTAGATTGTTTGGTTAGTTGTAAAATAAATTCATAGGATCAACTTTTTTGTATTGGTTGATTTAAAGTGAAATACATCTCTTTGGGATGGTGATAATGATGCAAGTAATAGAAATAATTGGGGTGGCGGTGGGTATGATGATGGGCATACTAGGGCTATGAGGTTGAGGTCATGTAGGGTTGACAACATTGTGATAATGTAGGATTTGGTCTAGTGATGATGAGGTCATGCGCAACCGTGTTGGTGATGTCATTTCAAGGCTGGTGACTGCGTGCGGGGTCTGGTCTGGTGAGGGCAATTAGTTCCTTACTTTTAGAATTTATTTGATTTGGGCGAATACCAAATTATTTAAAAATTGACATTTTTAGTGTTATACGAATAATTTACCAATATTTGCATGTACTTTCAATACCAAAAAAATCAAAACCTTTGCATTTTTGTTACTCGACACTCAGTAATACAACAAAGTAAAGAACACTTAAATTCATTACGGACTCTAAAAACACATTTTATGTCATTCACATTTTGATTTGTTTATTGAGATGAAAAATGATTTAAAGGAAAGTAGTTAAAGGAGATAATCACACCAATGTCACTTTTCTACATTGATATGGAGATTTGGTGAGCTCATCAAAGTGACACCAAATCCAATGCCCAACACTCTAGTTTATGCGACTCAAGCATACATTATTAATCATATATGTAAATCATTTTTTTTTTCTAGTGATGTGAACTGGTGCTCCAGTTGTACCTATTCGATAACACATCCCGAAGATTCAGATCAATGCAAGAAGCCTTGTTATGTTAACATCATTGGCTTAATAATTGTAAACCATTTAGTTGATGATATTTCATAGTTTTATTCATCATTCATACTCATGGTTTCCAGATATCCAATTTCTCAAAATTTTAAGTACACTCATATTAACAAATATAAGTCGCTAATAGATCCTATGGAGCATTTGATTGAGTCTAAGGATGCAATAATATTGGATGCCATGTCTTATGCAATAAGATGTGGAGTGTTTCTAACAACACTCAAGGGTTCTTTCCAAAACGGTGGGCATTTCTTCTTTTAACAAACAATGGTGGGCATACATTTTTAGCTTTTAGAGGCCACTCAAGAGCTCACATATACAAAGAAGTGATGAATCTTTAACAAATTATATCACATGTTTTGCTGATTTTTATTCTTTTAGTAGCAATGGCTGTACTCCTGCAGTCCTGCTCAGCTTGAAAGAGCCCCCATGTATGCTTGTCTCTAAGAATCCACCCGAGACAATGGTGAAACTATTGAAAATAAAGCAAAATGCATGAACGCTAAGGAAATATTTGCCATGGATAATCTATCTCCTATTGATCAACTACTAGAAATTAAGAAGAATGATTTGTTAGCCCAATTCAAATTTGCCATGCATGTTGTAGTTGATCAAATTTTCCAAAGATGGACCATCCAAAAAAAGGACTAGCCTTGTGGTACCATTAAATAATTTTGTTGTTTTTTATTGATTCGATTATGTATTAATGGTGATAATATATGTAGTTATTGAACTAGCTAAATCCTATGAAAAGTTTCCTACAAAAAGTGTATGAGAAAAAATTATGTCTCTACCATGATGATCATGGACACAACATCGATGATTGTCATGTTCTGATAGCCTTCATTAAAAAGTTTATCATCAAGAGGGCATTTGAAGGAGTTTGTTGTTGATTAGCACCACATCCAACAATCAACGAATATTAACGAGTTAGTCCTCAGATAAATGAGGCATGAATAAGTTATGTTGCCACCACAATGATTATGAGCACAAAATTGATGATTGTCCTATCTTAAGTCTTCATTGAAAAATTGATTAGTGAGTTATATTTGAAGTAGTTTCTAATCGATAAGTGCCACAATACATGGATGATAAATGTCGAACAATTAGGCCCAAGCGGAATAAAGGTACTTAGCTAGATCAACTTTTTAGGGAAGTCGGATGTTACTTAACTTGCCGACGAAGCATCTATCAACTTGAGTATTTGCTAAATTATATTGTGGCTTTACATTGGTGTTGTGGCTTTACATTGGAATATTGCTGGTGCTGTTCTTGCCAGTATGATGGGTGTGGTGATGATTTTCAGTTTGTATGACTTTGCTTGTGAAGAGGCTGACTCTTGGACTATTGAGGAGGGAGTTGGTGTTATTGCTTTGTCGTCAGTGATTGGTTCGTTCTTGGTGGTTGCTGTCGGTTGTGTTGATGCAACAATAGCGAATTCTACTCTTGATTGGAGCTTGTTGGACCCTATGATTGTTGGGGGTCTGGTTGATATTTGGATAGCTGGTTTAGTAGTTGTTTTTATTTTCCTTGAAACTAGTTATCATTTGCTTGTTTTGCTTATAGGCTTCTTAAACCTTTTTAAAACCATTATGATGAAATATGACATTTTTACTAGGTTTCATTTTTAACCGCATCTCTTTTTATCAAAGAAAAACGGGTTTCACTTAAGCTGTTCAAACGGGCGTAGGTCAACTAAATAGTATTCCCATAGCAATTGGAGTTATGGATTTTCAGTTTATGGGAGGTAGTATGGGATCCGTAGTAGGTGAGAAAATCACCTGTTTGATCGAGTATGCTACTAATCGATCTCTACCTGTCATTATTGTGTGTGCTTCTGGAGGAGCACGCTTTTGGGAAAGCTGTGATATTAACCAACCTTTTAGGTTGTTTTAATATTTGGTATCCCCATCACTCCAATGGATCTAAAATGGAATTTAGTGGATCGCATATCCATTATGGTAGTTTTAAAGGGTTTGCTTTTGCTTTCTAGATTGTATTAGGTATTTCTTCTTTTAATGCAATTTGCATTTCTTCAAAAAAAAAAAAAAAAAATAGATGAATGTGAAGTGTATCATTGTAAAGAGAATACTAGCACGCAAGAATTGATTTACAACAAATGAAGGGAATACAATAAGAATAATCAATTTTTAGGGGATTTCTATGAGGGGATTCTCTACCATGAATTAAATAGGGAAACCATTAATTTGAAGTAATGTCATTGATTTTATTATTCAAATTTTCTGTATAAAGCATGCAATAAGAGCTCATGAAAATTTCTATAAGTATGAGGTGATCTAAATTTATCAAATATCATACTCATCTTAACGCCAGTTGAACATTATATTAGGTGAAACTATGGACGTTCATTCAAATAGACTCCAAGTAAGCATCCTATATTCATTACAAGCCATAAAATTTTACTTAGAAATGTATATATACGCATACA